CGATCACCAAACTCGCTCAGGTGCCGAGTCAAAATGTTATGCATGGCGTGTACGATAATTACAGCAGATGTGGTGGCGGAGCAAGTCGAGGATTCTTATTAACCATCGTTAATTCTATGTTGGTAGAATAGTGGTAGCAAGAAAGCGTTTATGATACAGGCCGCATACCTCCGAATCCGTGCAATAATCGTGGAATAATCACGCAAAAGAATAAGCGGCTACGAGCACGGCCGATCTGAAAACATCACTCCGATATATAATCGGATGACTGATCTCATTGATACGTCTGATTATCAATTTAAATAGACGGAAATCTTTTAAACTTGAAATTATTCAGTGCTTATCAGAAAGAACATATAATATATTGATAGAATATTTTTAAATTAAAATAAAGTAAAATAAATTAAATTAATAGTTTTGTTCTAAAAATAAACAAGTAAAATGTCTACGTGAATTTTCATGGTCAATGCGAAAATAAAGCGATAAGATATAATTCGCAAATAATTGAAATGTATTTGCCAAGTGAAGTTAACTGCAAATGAATTTAGTAGTGCGTAAATATATTTCAATTGTATTTTATTTGAATATTTAATGATTTTATTCGCTCAACAGTATCCATATCTGTAAAATATTTTTCTCATAAATATTTATATCTGACTTGTAAATGAGAAATTAGTATATTGCTTCGGGAACTATTACTACTGTCTACATCCTAACATTCCGTTATACGTACTCGCAAATATACCGGATATGGAGAGCGTGAAATGATTATAGATCTGTCGCTTTGGGCCTGCCAAATTACAGGCCTCAGGGATGAGGCGTATACGTGAAGAAACGTAATGCGTTCGCGGATGAATGCGAACGGATACGCACTTGCGTATACATGTGTGGTAAATAAAATCAGGCGGAAACGGTAGTGCGTGGATAAGAGCAAGAGGATTGTTTTGTTTCAGAACAGATTGTGGTCTACACGCAAAAGATATTTTATTCATATAAATTGTAATGAAAGAGGCTTGATTGAGTGTTCACGCGATTACTTCGGGGGATATACTTTAGAAAATAAAATAGTTCTAAGAATCTAATTACAATTAATATCTATAATAGGAAACAAAATGATTCTAAGAACTTAATTAGAATTAGTATCTATAGTAGGAAGCAAAATAATTCTAAAAACTTAATTAAAATTAATATATTAGAAAACAAGTTGATATAATTAATTTATAATCTAATATTTTCTTTATTTTATCCTACGTATATTATTATACTCTATTCACTCTGTTTTATCGTTACTGCAAACTGAACAATCTGCAGTTCGATAAAGCTAAAGTGCTATAGCGGATCTATATATAGTCTACGCCCTCGCTGATTCCTTTTCGCTCTCTCACCGCTATCAACATGCATATTTGCTATTGTCGGCTAATCTATAGGTGAATGGGGAACCGGCACGTTGCGGAGGGAACTTCCGCAGCTCCAATTCTACGGTGCAGATCACCGTTTCATCGCGTAACAATAACGGAAGACGAAGAAGGCGATATGGCAAAAAGAGAGACGCGTAACCGACGACGACTTCCGCGTAAGAAGTTATTAATTGCGGCCCTCGTTAACGGAATCGCGATTGTACGAACGTGTGCGAAAAGAATGAAAGTCGAACAACCGCGCGAGTTACGTCACTGCCCGCAATCCGCAGTGACGTGTGAGAAATCACTTTTAGTAAACCGCTATCCGAAAATCAACCGCGATCGAACACGCAACAGTAGTTTACGGAAAGCACAAATGCGACAATTCACTGTTTCAGATCGTTAGTTTCTCAGAACTGTTTTTAGATTACGCAGGTTACGATAATTTCTCTGCGTGATGATTACGAAACCAGTACACCAGACTTTCATAACGGTTTTGTTTGCTCGCTGTGATAAATTTTCTCTTTATTACATCCATATACATACTACAATAATTTTAGATTTTTATGAATGAATAACAGAGTCTCTGTTCTCTCTTCTCTCTTCTCTCTGTTCTCTTGATTAAGACATCGATCTCTCTTTGTTCAGACACATTATACCGTTTGTTTCAATAAAGCCTTTTTTATAATTACGAAATATATTGTACGATTCAAAATTCATAATTGTATCAGTGATAAAAATAATCTGAGTTTCAACCATAATTTCTGTTAACGACGACAATAATTTAGCAATGTTACGCACGACATTAATCCGAGTACCGGAAAAGTAACATACCGTTGGGACGATAAGTATTCTCAAGCACCGTGACGATTGTGTACTCTCATTGGAATGTAGAAGGATTCTTAACCATTAATTAAATTAACGCTTGAGTAAGCAGGAGGTACGAGAAGGAAGTGAAATGGCTCTCGTCCTCCTCTCTCACTCATTCAATTGGCAAGACGGAAGAATAGACGAACAAACGATGAGCAGTCATGCAAACGACACAAGAAGGATCAGTAGGGCTTTTTTCTCTCTCTGTTTATAATCGATTGTTTATCTGATTCATCAATTGCTGTTCATAAACTCTTAAATATGTATATAAGTTGTCAAATCCATAAACCCTTTATATCCGTATAAGCAAATACTACTGAATTACAGACGTGTAAAGTAGATCTGCGTAAGTAGATTTGCTGAATCAAATTGCTTCGTCTAAATTTATTCATCGACCATAAAATTCTCTTTCTCTAACATTACGTTAAACAATCTAAAATTAAATTAATCATACAAGCGCAAAATCAATTTAATAAATAAACTTCTATGTATTTTATTAACATATTTCACATGTTACGTAATCTGCTAACGATTAATTAACACATACTTCGATGCAATATATCTATGTGAATTTCATTAGGTCTATACATCTATTAGAAACTACACAACTCTCCTTTTCTCTTTGTCTCTTTCTTTTATGTTCTTTATTAAGAGCTAAGCAGACAAAATTATGTACCGAATAAGATTTTCATTGATAAAGAGCATAAAAGTTAAGATACAGCAAACCTTGGAATTTATCGGAAGTTACACGAAACGCAGATTATTATCGATAAGATAAACGACGATGATCAACGTCGGTGAAGTGAAAGTCGAAATGTGTCTCTACCTTTAATTCCGTAAATCTACCGTTCATTATCGTATTTCCCTCAGCCATTCACATTCTTCTTGAATAAAATTACCGACGACGAGATCATAAAACGGATTATTGAACGTTTAGCTCGCGAAGTACGATTCCTTTTTTAGATTTTTTTATGTCATTCATGTGTTAATATTATAATAAATTAATATATCTATTCACTGACGAGATGTGAATATATACAGATGTATTTTTCTTTTTTCAATTTTTTTATAATATTTGTTTGCCGCTCGATGTTGTGTGTACTGAAACTGTGCATCTCGTCCTGATAAAGTGAATGGCAAGGTTCACGAACGTTGGTATTATCACATATCTTTAAAGATAATATTATTTTTAACTTCACTTTTTTAATACAATGTTTATCAAGTAATCGAGTGAATTAAATAATTATCAGAATGATATATTTTCATCAGTATGATGTAACAGCAATAAAGATTAAAATGATTTCTAATTTATCATGATAAAAGTAAATTAAAATAAATTAAAATAAATAGCATCAAAGATAAAAGTAAAAAAGTGAACATCACAAAATTGTAAAATCAAAATTATAATGACATTATACAGTAACAAAAATCAGTTTAATAAATAAAGTTTTATGTATTTTATTAATATACTTCATATGTTACGTAATTTGCTAACGATTAATTAACACATATCTGTACTTTGATGCAATATATCTGTGAATTTTATTAGGTCTGTATACATCTATTAGAAACTGCACAGTCATTCTACATAATTTATGATTTTAATACTGATGAAGTCAACGATTAAATATTAATAATAAATAATAAGAAAGCATTGAAGAAATTAAATTGAAATCTGTGATGCAATTTTAACAAATTTATCAGTGGCATATTCGTTACATACTTAAGTTACATACTAAAGTCTCATATTTTATTCACCTCATATTAACAAACAATAATGAAAACAAATATAACAAATATAAAGATAATAAATAAATATAAAGATAAGAAATAGAAGATAAAATAAAATAACGAAAACTTGCATAGACTTATGTCTATAGATGATAAAATGATGCTTTGCAATATATAAGATTTCCTAAAATTTTGTTCTTATATAAACTGAATAACTTTTCATTATTTGTTAAACTAAAAGAGAATATTTTTAAATAAAATAAAATGAAATCATTTCATTTTAAATAGATATTTATTTTATGTTGGATAGATATTTTATTTTAAATTTTATTTTTTTATTAAATTTCATTTTATTTTATTTGTTTATTTATTTATTTATTTATTTATTTATTTATTCA